AGGAATGGTGGTGTGCAGATGTTCTCTAGGGTCTGTGTGAACTCATCACAAGAAACAAACAAGACTGGTCCATCTGTCCTGCTGCAAAAGGAGGTGTTGTGTTTTCTCCCAAGCTATGCAAAGCCATCACCGTGCATAGCTTTGTGTTTCTGCACTCTTGGTTAGTTAGGCAATAAAGTGTTGCGTGTCTTCTGTTTCCTATGGCTCCTACTCAGCTGTGGAAAGAAATAGCAAGTATTGTAACCACTTTCTTCCAAATCTTGGGCCAGAATCTCAGCTGGTGTTAACTCAGCAGAGTTCCACTGACATTATTAGTACTCCAGTGATTCACACCAGCTGTGGATCTGGTCTTCTGTCTCAGTTTATGAAGGGAACTAAATGTCAGGAAATATGAAATGATCTTTTATATAGTCAGCAGTTCTCCAGATGTGTTAATGGAGTTTAAGTTTACCAAAAGGCAAGACTTACTTAAAAAAGGGATCCAACAGAAGAATAAACTTTCAAGAAGAATGCCTTGCTTACAGGCTTTTTGGCAAGAGAGGATATACAGCTCACTGCAATTTAAAGAAATTAACTCAGTTGTGCAAAGGGTATGGTAATAGAGGTTCAGTGAGAATCCAAGATGCAAAATAATTGCACAGCACAAAGCAAGCTGTTGGCATTTAGTGAATAACTGCCATGCAAACAGGAATCATCAAGTCTTAAAACCAAAATTAAGTTGCTTATGAACTTCATGTAGAGAGATTAATGCTTCTACTTTGCAAGTATAGTTGGGCTTACACACAGGCATTTTGTTACAGCTTTTGGAGATTAAATGAGGACCATGTTACTACAAGAACACAGAAGCTTAATAGTTCTAGCTGTGTAATGTTAAAATTCAACAGTGGTTTGGATTATAGATGTGATCTTATGTATGGTGTTGAAAACAGTTATTTTAGCCAATGAGGATTGTTGTTGAAATTGCTTAAGCACTGTCAGGCTAACTTTTCAAACTCAGAAAGTTCTGGAATGTTTTAGATTGACCTAGAAAACAAAAAGAACACACCTTCAACAAGTAAACTCGAGTGTCACACTGTGTTGTTGTAGGCTACCTATATTTTAAAAAATAAAAATAAATTAAGGTACAAATAAGTTGATTGCTAACAATCAGAACAGCATGGAGTCATCTAATCCTGCTGAGCAGCCAGTGGCTAAGGGTTCAATTCTAACAGTTTTTTTTCATAGTTAGTCTAAGTGACTTCTGATGAGGCACACATCTGTCTTGATGTCACTGCATACCAAAAGGAAAAAAGCTTGGACATCATTTATTCAGACCTGAAGGAAAGTGTTTTAGAAGAGTTTACAGAGAAAGATAGTTAGACTTTCAAAGAAAGTAATTCTCCTAATCTGAACACGCTAGTAGGTTGAAAGTAAAGAAGATTGCAGGCTTTTGCATGCCTCATTGCAGTGAGGCCTCATATGGCAGCATTTGAGAGTAACACTTGCCATTACTTCTGTCTAGTTCTTCCCATCCTGGTGGCTGATGTGTTTGCCTTGGTAATATACTGATTTTTCATATTCTGTCAGGATTACACCAGTCGAATATACCTGGGCATGAAGCCATCAACCCTTATGATACTCCAACCAGTCCAAAATCATATCACAGATTTGTATCATGGAATGGTTAGGGGTGGAAGGGACCTTAAATCTCATCCAGTTCCAACCCCCTGCCATGGGCAGGGACACCTTCCACTACACCAGGTTGCTCCAAGCCCCTGTGTCCAACCTGGCCTTGAGCACTGCCAGGGATGGGGCAGCCACAGCTTCTGTTGGCAACCTGTACCAGGGCCTCAGCACCCTCACAGGGAAGAACTTCCTCCTAAGATCTCATCTCAACCTCTCTTCTGCCAGGTTAAAGCCATTCCCCCTTGCCCTAAAGGCCCTTGTCCAAAGGCCCTCTCCAGGTTTCTTGTAAGAAGACTGTTATAAAGTCTCCTCTGAGCCTTCCCTAGACTTGATGTCCTTCATGAGGACAGTCAAAGGAGTGCTAAACAGGACAAATTGATGCAATGTGGCACATTATGCAATGTCATGGGTGTCTTCAGGCGTTTTCAGTTTCAGTTTTCAGGTAGGACTCCATGGTGCTCAGTGATCTGAGGGCAAACCCGCACCCAAGCATGCACATCAGTGGATTGCAAGTGTTCCTGTTTGCATACATTTATAGCATATGTAAACATTATACATGTACAGGGGAAGACCAGGGATTTGAAAGTTCCTGAATATGTGGACTCATGCATTATGGAAGGATTTTCTTCATTTGCCTTTGTTTCCTTCTGCTCTACTTTTGGAGAAAGGCTTGCATCTTACCTGTGAGGCATCTTAGTGTGATTCTGCAACATACCTCCATGTCAAACTGGTGGACAACAGACACATGCTTAGTGCCAGGGGAAAAATAAAGACTCACAGAGCATTATCCTATGGACTAACACAGGAGTGGGTCCTTTGCATGTTTTCTGCATTTGTTCTGCTCTCCCTAGCTCTCCATGTGTAAATTGTGTGTGAAATAGTCATTATCAGGGTCCTAAAAACTGTAACAAAATAGCTGAAGCCTTGACATTTATAAGCTCAAGTTCATCTGTTTGTTTTGCTATTGCCATCTCAGCAAGTAATCAGGCCTTACAAAAAGTGCTTTTCTCCTACAACAAAAAGCTCAAAATACACTATCAAATAGTTACCTTGGCACTGTATATGTTGGAATTGTTTATATCTTTATCTAAATTTGTTTCAACTTTCTTTCCTTTATATTTCCAGACCTGTTCTGGCCTCACAGAAGACATTGGAGAAGCATTCCCTGGATGTGATGTCTCTCGAAACACTGGAAAACACTTGTGAGGCAGAAGATCTATTTGATGACATCTAGCTATGTGCTAGCTGAGAAACTGGGAGACTGCTGCTTCTGATAGAGATAAGCTGTAAAACTAAAAGGCTTTGTTATAGCCACTTTACTCTGAGGTGGTATTCAATGACATATTGCTCTAATCCTCTTGCGCAGCACTTGTCCCCATTCTTTGCTATGCTGTTGTAGACCCTTGGCCTGCTAAACTTGATTTGTGACGGTCTGGAAATCAGTTTAGCCTCTGTGTAGTTCTTTTATCATGTATATATGAGGAAGGGGAGCACTATTTTTACATCCTAACAGTCTCTGGCTGCTGATTGTATCCAAGATCAACTGATTTCAAGGTGTCCCCAGGTAATGTCAGATGTAAAGAAGATGAAGGCTGTTGCTGTACTTACCTTATGCACTGCCCCTTTCTTGAGAATCTCAGCTTAGATGTGGCCTAGCTAAATCATCTTCAAGTTTGATTGAGATATAACTTCCTAAACTGAGTTTAGAATACCTTCTGACTTGAAGCATCCAAAGAAATGTCCTTTCACTTTTTACTTGAAGGTTCTCTGCCATATTATCCATTATAAGATATCCTTGCCTTTCACAGTAATATGCGTATAAGGTCAATATTGACTCTATTTTAACCTTCTGTAGAAACCCATAGCCTTCAAAATTGTCATTCTTGGTACTTTATTATTTTTCCTAAAGTGATTTCTAAAAAAATAAAATGCATTCTAAAAATACGTCAATTTTGGTTTTCTTTGTTTAGACAATCTATGAGTAAAGGGGCTAGTTAGCAAAGTATGTTATTGCATGACCTTCTCCTGCCCAAAGCTGATGCATTCATTTAGATTTAAAGCTTCATCAAAGAAGAAATTATCCACATGTATTTACCTTCAGCAGTCAAAATAAAGTGTACAGAACTAAGCATGCACGTTGGGGTTTTGCTTTGCAATTTTAAGAATCAATTCTCATTTAAGGCAGAGGAAGCCTGTTCTTCTGTCTCAGAAAGGATGTCATCCAATAAGTGTTTTAAACACAGGAGTAATCCCACTGAAATCAGCAGGACTATGTAACATGTAACATAGTCCTGCTTCTGTGCTCTGTGGCTTGCAATGGTCCTTGGAAGCTACCTGGTATTTCTGGGCTTATTTAGGCCCTGATTCTGCCAAAATTCAGTCCTGTATTTAACTAAAAGCATCCACGTCAGTATTTGCAGAATCAGGGCCTCATCTAAGAACCTACACAAGGACCTGGGAATATTATATTTAAGCATTCCTTTCTGAAAAACATGGTAACAGCACTTTAAATTCACAAAGGGCATTGGGACAATGTTATAAATCACACAGTAAAAACATGAATGGCCAAAATAATTTCCTTGCTACAAAGGCTTTGTGCCTGGGAAATGACAGGACTACAAAAGACCTATTCATACACCCATTCATAGACATTGCCTGATTTAAAATTTTCCAGTGCTGATCTGACAATGCTTTCAGCAAAAGCTTGTATATAGTTTCGTTTTTAACGTGAAAATGTTCCATGACTTAACGCAAAATGCAAGAGCTTGGTTTAATTGTGCCTGGAGGAGAAAATGAAGGTAAATGGAGCTGAATATCTTGTGAAACTCTTGATTTCAAGAAACTATTGGTTTCTAGTAGTAGAATATTATTATGTAAACAGGAAATATTACATACAGTTGCAGATGTAGTAAAGTCTGTCAGAATATTTATTCTTTTCCCTTTTTATGAGGTTTATAGAATCAAACAAGGAGCTGAGCAGAAAATGACGTGATGGCAGATACATACCTTCACTTGTGTGAGCACACGTTTTTCGTCTAGTCAGGGTAGCCATGGTACAGAGCCAGTTTCCAGTCAGCTGAGACTATTTGTGTACACAGAGACTTCTCCTCATCCCTCGAAGCCTCCTTAAAATACGTCAGTCTCCAAAACCATGTAAGAAGTTAGTGAAGTGCTCCTTTATGGATTTATGTGAGAAACTGTTGCTTTTCTGCTGATAAAATTCCATTTTCCAGTTGACTTTGAAGAGGAAATACCCACCAAAATGAACACAGATTGTTTGTGATGGCTGAGGTAGTGTTGCATGTTTGTCCACAAGAAGTGGGGACATCTACTTTATCCTCAAACTCATTCATCCCAATGTATTGAAATGGAAGATCCTGTGGTCTTCAATGACAAATTCAAGTAAAATGTGTTTCAAACAAACCCTGTGATGTTTGGAAAGGGAAGTCAGTAGTAAGGCTTCATAACATATAACGTATTTTTTAGAAACCTAAATTAATATGATACTCAGTGCTCTTTGATCTGAGAAAACCTGGGATGTTTGCTATCCTTCCATGCCAACGGAGTTCTTGCTGCAGGGGCTTTCCAAAGTTTGCAGAGCAGGCGGCTTCCCTTCAGCTCAGCAGTCAACAGACAGTTCTTCTATTCATATACTGAATATAATGTTCATCTACTTCACAGTGGCGTAATATCTAGTTTATGTTCATGCTGTGATCCACCATAATCCTTGGATTCTTCTGTGCAGAGTTGCTGCGAAGTCACTTGTTTTTCCATTCTGTATTTGTGCAGCTGACTATGCCCGTATGGGTTTAGTAACTGGTATTTAACCCTATGGACCTGCATGCCATTTTTGTACCTGAATTCACTGTTTTTTCAAGATGATTTTGAGTGCTCCTTCCTCCACAATTTGGTATTATGGGTGAATTTAGTTAGTTCTTCATTTCTAACATCCAGACCACTAATGAAAACGTTGAACAGTTCTGGACTTAAGCTTCACTTCATTCATCCTTCTGTTTAATAGAGCTACTAAATTTAGAGTTACTTTGTGAGCATGGTTTCCTAACTCACCTTTTGGAAGACCATGTTTTCCAAGCATGCCTATAAAACTGCCACATGAAATAGCCTGACATGAGATGTCAGTCAATTGCTTCTCCTCTGTCGAAAATATTTTAGTGGTGACAGAAGACAAATAGAGAAACATGCCTGCAAATGCTTTTTCAAGACAGGAAATTAACCAAACTTAACAGATCAAATTTCAAAGGCCATACTTAATTAATATTCTCTTTGATATTACGCTGCAAGTGATTATTTCCCAAGTAAATTTTTTCTTCAGTTTAAACTGTACTGTTGGGAAAGATAAAACATGTAGTTGTTTAACAGGAGGTAAACCATGCTATCTTTCATTAAAGTTTGGACTCATATACAGTTTTATACTTTTAATGTAACTACTTAAACAGAATGTACATTTTATGCATAGTAATTTTTCATTTGAGGTCTGGGTTTATCCAGCAAATCTTTTAGTTCAAAAAGATTTAATTTTTTTTTTCCAAGAGAGAAAAAAAATTGTTCTGGGAAAAAAAAAAAACCAAACCAACAAAAAAACAAGCCACTCTTTTTTTGAGGCAGTGCTGTCTATAAAGTATTGCCTTTAGGATGGAAGCATTGTTTTGATTTTGAGATATTGTTTTGGCAATCTATATCACTATTTTAACTACCTTCTCACTATTATTCCCAAAATTAGGCACTTGTGTGTGTATGCGTGTGTGTTAGATGTATTGTTCTTCCTTGCTTTGTACCTGTAACATATAGATGATTGTGTGTGTAAATATGATACTCTGGGAATGTTTAGCACAGTCTAGCCAGCTTTGATGACTTCTGCAGTTTGATCTAGCAGCCTGAAGGTACTTGAGGAAAGAAAAAGCCCTCACACATGGGAATTTAGATGCTACTAAATGTTTAAGGTAAAGCTGCTTTTTTCTGGCTTGTCATCTGCTTTGTGGGAAAAATAAAATGTGGAAACAGTGAAGTAAGAATCACGGGAAAACAAGGCAATAAAAGCATGTCCAGACTGCTTATACTTGAACATCTTCTGAGCAATACTAATTTAGGAAAATGTGCCAGGAGCTGGTTATCCTACTAAAAGAGGAGCAGCTAGGAGATGTTTCCATCTTCTGGAAACCCTCTTCTATTCCCTCTTGTCTCCAGTAATCCATCAGGAGTTACTACCCCTTTTCTGCTAAATGTTTTTCTGCTCTAATTTTATTCTAATCCCTTCACAAAGTCTGGGGGCTTATCAAACCTTTTTTCCCCTTTTTCCTAAATTTCCTTTTGGCAAGTTGTCATCCTCTGTCTTATTTCTTTTCCGCATAATGTTGATCAGCATCTGAGTTTTCATTTTGCTCTGACCATTAAATTATTTCCCTCCTCTTATAAATACACTCCAAAACCAATTTAATTCATAAAATCTATCAGAATTAATCTGCTAGTTTTAGGAAAATGAATCACTGTGTATTTTCAAACACTACTGAAAAGGACAATACTAAAGTGAAGGAAGATTACTTCTGGTGGTCCTCAGGGATGAGTCATGGGACCAAACTCATTCAGCATTTTCATCAGTGGCATTGGCACAAAAAGTGCACAAAAAACTCCAACGAAACCTGTTGATGGTGTGTATGTGGAAGCCTTATGAAAAATACCTGTTCTGTTTTGAAGTAAAAGCAGCCACCACCTCTAAACAAAGTAAAAGGTGAAGTTTCTGATGGGTGTTGTCATGGAGATTTGTATGCCTGTACAAAAGAGACGACCATACTATCTTCAGGTTACTTCTTGGGAAGGGAAGATAGCTCTGATTTAGGTCTTTATGGCTCTGTTTGTCTTGTGCAGAAATATTTAACTGAAGATCTTGCCATTGTATAATTCCCAAACAGAATGAATTAAACATCACAGAGCCATAGGACAGTTGATGTTGGAAGGGGACTCTGAAGATCATCTAGTCCAATGCTCAAAGAAGGGTCAAACATAGCAAGTTCCTCACACTGTTCCCAGTACGTTGTTATTTAGTAAGTAGAGAATCAATTTCCTCTACAAGGTTTACTATAAATAGCAGCTATGGATGGAAATCACTCTGCCATCTGGGATTTTATGAAGCTTTCTGCATTCACCTGGCAACACCGCTAATGAATACTGCAGTCCCATCCTGCTGCAAGTGTGTCGGTCTTCAATGCTTGTATGTAC